TTAGCAGCAGCACGCTCTTCTTTAGTGGCGGCAGCTTTAGTAACTGCAGCTTTAGCTACGCGGGAGGCAATAAGGGCAGCGCGGGTAGAGCGAGCGCAAGCAGTAGTTTTTAACTTTAACTAAGACACAGGTTAGTAGGGATATAGGTATAGTTTAGATTTTTAGGGTTATATAATCTTATAATATAGGCTATAGTAAAGATTATAGTTAGGTAGATAGAGTTACAGAGCTAAGTCTAGGCAATATCTACGCGCGCAAGCGCAGGCTAAACAAGGAAGGCGCGCTAGTTAGTATCTAAAGGGTAAGCTAATTTAACCCTTTAGATATACAACGCTCTAATTAGCTACACTACCTACTAACCACAAGCGCAACCACAACAACAAAAGATCTACCTATACCTAGGGGGTGTGTTGCAGGAGGGATATCAACCAGATCACAGAGCATCTTAATCCAATTAATCCTAATTAATCCTAATTAATACCCCTGTATAACCCACTATCTAATTAACTGCCAGCTTACTACTAAGTGCCTAATAAAAAGCAGGAGCTCTAGTAAGGAAGGTTTACTAATTATTTACCTTCTAGTAAGGGTAGCTAAAGCTCTATATATATAAGTACGATCGTAGTAAATACAATCTAATAATCTATCTCCCAAATCATTCCTAACCTTAGTGATCCAAATTTCCACATAAGTATAATCCTAGTAGATAGAGCTTTAAAGATAGTCCTGTACTATAAGCTCTCCTTTAATATTAGGGATATTCTATACCTTACCTTAAGCGTATAGGACTATATACTCCTTCTACTAATAATTAGTATCTTAGCTACTAATCTTTGTCTTAGCAAGACAAGCCTTATACTATAATCTTACTAGTATTATAGCGCTTAATTTATTTAGTGTTAGGTTATTATAAAGTAGTTAAATTAATATTTAAAGGGTTACTCTTCCTTAATTAATAAGCCCTATATAGGCTACAATAAGAATCCTTTAATCTACTATATTATTAACCCATATAAAAAGATTCTAGATTACTAATAACTTTAATACCTAATCTAATAAGCAAGCTTAGTACTAGGCTATTTATAGTTTATACTACTTACTTAATATATTAAATACTATAATACCTATTAGTATACTAGGCTTAATAGGTCTATTTTTAAAGTAACTTTTAGTCTCTAAAGTATTAGGGCCTACTTCTACCTAGATCCCTTTAGTTAGGGCATAGTACCTAAATTAAATATACTAGGTAGGCTAATTAGTTAATCTAGTAAGTAGAATATCCCCCTTTAGAATTAAGTTACTTATAGTAGAAGAGTAATAAGTAAGTTTGTACTTAAGAAATAGTATAGAAAAATAAAGCTTGCTAGCTTAGTAATTAAGTTATATAGTATACTTAAATAGATAGGATAATCTTTAATAAAATAAAGCGTAATCTAGGCTTATAACTATAGAAATTTAGATTACTAAGGTTAGGAATAATTTAGAAGATAGATTATTAGATTATATGTACTACAATCAGACTTATATATATAGAGCTTCAGCTACCCTTACTAGAAGGTGAATAATTAGTAAACCTTCTTTACTAGAGTTCCTTTTTTTATTAGGCACTTAGTAGTAAGCTAGTAGTTAATTAGATAGTAGGTTATACTAGGGTATTAATTAAGCATTAATTGGGATTAATTAGATTAAGATGCTCCGTAATCTGGTTGTTATCCCTCCTGCAACAGTTAACTATAAGTAACTATACTTTTTTACTATTT